TTTATTTATGAAATGTGAATGTGTGTGTGAAAGGTGTACTACTACTGCACAAAAAATTGCCCATACTGGGACAAATAAAAGCTACTCAACGGAACTGAAAAAAGGGTGGCTGTTCATAGAGCTCTCTGTCGGAGAACATTAAGCGATGCAGAGAGGTGAAGGGAACACAAAAGGAAAGAAGGAAAATATATGGCACAAAAAAAGTTTACTATAAATAGGGATAACAATATCCTGGAGCGATTGTGATTCTCATAAAAATAAACTGAATTGAATTAAATTAAGTCTAAGTCATATATATCAGATCTAGATCAAATTTCATTTTGGAGCTCACTGTACCTTTTTAAGTGACATTTATGCTGCTACCTTTAAATCTGTTCTTTTGCTAGAGCAAAGGCGGAACTGGAAAAACAATCTGAAAAGACATTTTCCAGAAGTAGAAAAAAAATACTTGCAACAAAAAACAAAAAAAAACTGACAATAACAAATTAAAAAGTCTCCTCTTACCAACAGCTCAAAATACGAGATCTGTCCACCAGTCAGAACCAGACTCAGGCTAAAAGATCTTAAACCAACTTAGAGGATGGAATAACTGCTGTAATGAGGTAGTTCTCCAGTCTGTGAAAAAACAGACACTCTCTTCTGCACTTAAATTTTAAATATCACAAGGAATTCTTTATGATTTTAAGTGACTAACACCACCTTTTGGATTTAAAAAAACAAAAGTCTCTGATCCAAGTAGACTTTTTTGTTGTTGTTGTTGTTTAAAATCCATTATGATCCAAAATGAAATTAAAACTTGGGCAGCAAAGTGGGGGAGTGTTTATGTAGGGGTGTGGGGATTGGAGAAGAAGATAAACAGACTGATCACTGCAGCTGTTGCTTTGCATGCTACATTGTTGTTGTTTTTTTCCCCCAGCTTTTATTGTAATAACACTGTCATAAATACAGAACTACGAAATGAACCCTCTGCATTTAACCCATCCCCCTGGGGAGCAGTGGGCTGCCATTGTGAAGAGCCCGGGGAGCAGTGTGGGGTTTAGGGTCTTGCTCAGGGATCCAGAGCCGCATTTTGTGGGAGTGGGGCTGCACGACACTGGAGAAAGTACAACAAGAAAGATGGCAGCACCAATTGAGCAGTTCTTGTTTGACTCAGCTTTGGAATCAGTTTTGGATTCTTAAACGGACGCTTAAAACCCTTTCCCTCTTCTTTTAATTTCTTTTTATTTACTTGTACTTATTTTTGGGTAGTGTTTAGTGCTTGCGTAGTTATTAGATACAGTAATACTGTGTGATATTAGCTAATAAAGGTAACATTGTATATCAACTCGTGGTCTTTTCTGGTTATCCTATGTAGTGAACGATTATCACTCAGGCCAGACCCACCCTCCTATGCTTCAATGTCCACAGAAAACTTACACTGTAAATTTACAAAATATGTACCTGTGAGGTCAATGGATCCATCACAAACCTTTAGTATTTTTTGTCTTTAACAGGGTGGACACTAACCCTCCTTTAAAATCAGGCGTTGATTTGTAGGGCGTATCTGTTTGTCTTCAATTATTCTAAAGAAAAACAGATGAAGAGTGGTCCCCATGTACTTCAGCAGTTTAACCCTAAAGCAGCATAACTACAGAGATAACCTGAACCACTCTAACCATATTTAACATGTCATCTGTTAATATTGAAAAGAGATATGTTTCTCCTTAGCCAACCCATTTTTTATCCTGCCCATTATCACCCTTATTCTCAACTATTTCAACTACTGAACAAGAGGAAAACATTTCCTTTATTCTTCATGTTATTTACTGAGGACTTAAGTTTTTATTTTCCCTAGGAATATAGTGCACAGAAAAGGTTTCCTCTTCCGTGTTTCCAGGACACAACAACCCAGAAAAGAAACCAGAATCATGTTTTCTTATAAATCTTCTGTATCTTTTTTGTAGTTAAAATGTATATTTTCCTACTTCTACTGTTTTTATAATTGCTATACTGTTTTTAAAATATTTATAATTCTCTTTTTGTAAATTCCACTTTAAATGTCGTAATTCAAAATGAAGTGGAGCTAGAGTTAGAGTGAATGCTGTATGTAGAAACTTGGCGATTCGAATCTAAATCTGAATCAACACATCTAAACCTAGTAGTAATTAATTAAAAGGTAGTCGTTATTAAAGGTAATCCTGGACAGTAATGGTTATTGCTTAAACTCTGGTGAAATAAAATTTACTTACCTCTGCTCACTGCTTTAACACCAATCCTTGTTCAGTTCCAGAGGTGGATAATCCAGGTGCAGAAAGTGAAAAGCCTGTAGAGATTAATTGCAAGATTACTCTTTCCTGGGGCTAATCATCTAGTTAAATGATAAAGGCTAACAAGACAACATTTTTACTTTCTAGATCTGGATTATCCACCTCTGTATTCCGAGTGGACATTTGGAATTAAAGGTCCCTATTTTAGCATTAATAGAAAGCTTGTAAAAAATGGCTTCACAATGTTCCGTTATCTGTTATTGACTCAGAACCAAAGTCCAGAGAACAGGCTGATATCACAGGTTAAAGGCCGCTTCAGAGGAAGAAGTGATTCTGCTGAGATGGCACCACGCCACGAGGAAAATCTCTGAGACGGGAACGTGACAAACAAAGGAGGAAGGATTTCACAAGCAGCTGCACACGCAAAGAAAGTTACACAGAAAAATCAACAATATCTGCTATGATAACAGGGGAAAGCTGCAGGAAGGATAAACATCTGGCTGCTATCAAACACTGAAGGTAAAACCTGAATGTAGTTTCTGATGCGACCTTCCTGCTCTGCTCCTTTTATCATGTCTGATTTTATTTTAATCATCTAATGACTACAGATCGTGTGAAGGAACCCAGTGTAACATGATCGGTTTAGATTTTCTGAATGAAGCATTTCCTCTCTAGGAATGTGACACATCTAATGACAGGTTTTATATTGCTGATATGTCTCCGTGTTATGACAGCAGAAGGTGCATTTAGGAAACGCTCCGGCAGAAGTCTCTACAGCTGTCAGAACTCAGACTGGCCCTAAAGCTTTCATGGTGGACAGGGCAGGTCTAGGATCTGACAGGAAGCATTTTACAGGTCACTTAAATTAAAGCTTTATCTGAAATCGTCAACACTTTCACTTGAGAGTGTTTTGGTGTCAGAAAAGAGCAACATGGAGAAATATTTGTTGTTTTTTTTTCTTCATAAAGATAAAAGCACTATTAGTTGAATGGATTCCTTCAAAGAAAATACAAGTAATTGAGAGTCACAAGGTCAATGAACGATCATGATCCAAGTTTCTTCACCAGCAGAGCTTTTTATCCCTTTTAGATAAAAAAGAACATAGCTGAAACATGTGTTGCAAGCTGTGACGCAAAATTCATTGACAGAAATCTTTACATTTATTGTTTAAATGTATTAATTATACATATTTTAAAGCATTGGAAAACACAACAAATGTTTGTTTGACCTCCTGCACACAATATTAAAACAAACAAAAATCCATCTTTATCTATTTTTATATATTTTTGGAAAAGCTCCAGGCAGCCACAAGGGGGGCATTAAAGAGCGGCATGCAGCTCTGCAGCCGTGGGTTGCTGACCTGTGCTCTAGGGTGTCTAATCGGCTCTTAAAAAGGTCATTATCATGAGCCAGGTAATCTTAGCAATCCCTGAAGACTCATTTCCTCCTAATTCTCTCATTTCCAACAACCTTTAGCAGAGCCAATGTATCCATTGTGCACTTTTGTCACAGCAATTATAAAATGTTAATAGCAGTTAGAGTTAATTGTTCACACCTTATCACATTTACGTGTTGATCTGTGTTACGAACCCCCTGTTGATCTTCTGGGAGAGAAATGTGAGCGTAGGAAGTTGTTAAAAACATTGATTAAAGAACAAGTTGCAGGTTAAATAGGCTCATATTTGAAAAACGTTTCTTTAATGTTTAAAGTGTTTTGGCTGCAATAACAAAACACATTTACCAATGAAAATTATATTTCCTAACAAGGTCTCTAAAATCTGTTTTTTTTTTAAACAATTCTGGTCATAGAAGGTAACAGACAAAAGTAATTTTTGTGTTTTTCAATTTCAATGGGGAAAACTAACTAATAAAGAATAAAGAACTCTAATAATTGGCGTTGGGCTAATCAATAAAATCCACTAAAAGAGGTTTGCTACTCCTTCTCGCCTACAATTATAAGAAATTTCAAAATCTAACTAATTAGAAAGCATAAACTCATTCATATTTACATAATCCGCTTGCTGCAGCCAGGTTTCTTTAAGAAAATATATCAGTCTGATTGTCACAGATTTATCCTTACCTACAAAGCCTTTAAAGAGAGAGAGATCATTGATGTACAGTAAGCAACAGTTAATTATTTTACTTTCTGATTTTTAAAAGTGGTATTTATTTTATCCCAGAATTTGTTTTGTTGATACTAATCAGTTAAATATGTTCTAATGTTAAAGGTTGAGCAAGGCAAACATAAAAAATCAAAAAGGTACCAATAACTGAGAACAGGCAGTCTAGATAAAATAGATTGACTTTGGAAATAGAATATAGATGTATTGCCATATGTACAAGTAAAAACTTCCTCTAAAGCTCATCATAGTTCTCTTGATTCTCCAGCAGGTCTATTGATCTACCTTTGATGATCCTCCTGATCACCATCTCGGTCTCCTGGCTCTCCTCCGGTGGTCCTCCAGGTCCAATGATCCTCTGCTGGTTGTCCTCCTGATCCTCCTCGTGCTCCAACACAACCCTTCAGCTCATCTCAATCTCCAGACCCGTTGAACAGTTCATTCACTAGTTGGTTTCTCAGTGACAATGGCTACCAACTCCCCTAAAGACAAGTAAAGCAGAGAATGACTTCATAATTCATTTGATTTTTTACTGTTTTTTTCTTTTTAGTAGAAAACAGTACTTTATTGTAATTTCTGTGCCTCACTGTGGTGCAGTTTTGATTGTGCAGTTAAATCTACATAAGTCTTTTTTTCTTAAAATAAGTGCATTTTTTCTTGAATTGAGGAGGAAAGTGAAACATTTTGCCAGTAGAACGAGGCAGTTTACATTTAAAATAAGAAAAAAAAAATTGCATTGTCTTATTTCAAGTGCATATTATCCAATTATCTTATTCTAAGTGTGAACATACTAATCCCAATGGGAAACTATTTTTACCTAATTAAATTAAGGTTAAATACACTTAATTTAAGAAACTTGTACTTATTTCTAGATATTTTTTCCACGCTAGCATTGTAATCTTATAGCAAAAAGGTTACACTGCAAAAACAATCCAGAAATAGTTTAAAATTTCTTAAATAAAGTGTATTCACCCTTAATTTGAGTACATAAATGGGATAGTTTGCCAATAGAATGAGTAATTTTACTCTTAAAATAAGATAATTAGTTAATGTGCACTTGAAATAAGACAATGCAATTGTGTTTTCTTATTTTAAGTGTAAATTGTCTTGTTCCATTGGCAAAATGTCTCTTTCACCTCCCCAATTCAAGAACAATTGCACTTATTTTAAGAAAAAAATGACTTATTTAGATTTAGATTTTTTTTGCAGTGTACGGGTTTAAACCTTGGCCTGGGTGATTTCTGTATAGAATTAGTACTGTATATTCTCATAATGCATGCAGGGGTTCTCTCTGGGTACTCTCGTTCTCTGCAACAATTCAGAAACATGACTGTTAGGTTGATTGGTGACTGTAAAGGTATGAGTGCATGGGTGTGCATGGCTGTGCACATCTGTATTGCCCCTGCAATAGATTTGCAGCCTGTCCAGGATGTCACCTGCCCCCTTTTTTGCCCATAGCCTGTTAGAAACAGGTACCAGCCCCATATGACCCTGATGGACAAGCAGCTAAAGAAGATGGATAATGACCAATACCTCATTTGCAAAAGATCCAATTGCTTCTATAAAAAAAGACAAACGGCATCTGAAATTTACTTGACTTGGAACCTTTGTTTATTTGATCAGATGATTGATTGATTGATTAATTGATGGATTAAACATATTAATTTCGTAAGCTTTGGAACAGCTAAACCATTTAGCGATAAAGTTTTTGAGCTCTCACCTAAAGACTATGATGACATCATTCAGGTTTATTTCCTGCAGATATTTGGGCGTGTGGATGATCTTCTTCATGCTTGGTCTGGGAACCCTGCTGCCCTGGAATTTCTTCATGACTGCTACCATGGTGAAATATTGTCTTCTGTTTGTTTTTTTTACAACACACATTTTACTATACAAGCTTTTACTTTGTAATAGGCTAAGCTAAGGGTGTTGTTAGCATCATGGAACCTGTGCAGCTTAGTCCAATCAAAATAGTTTCATCAAAATAACGCAGGACGTATTGCACCTTCTCTCTGACAATTTACTAATGTCTTGAATTAATATCAGCAAATTTGAATTAAACAAACACAACAGTTTTGAGTTTTTTTCTTTTTACTGTTAGCAACAGTAAAGAAAAAGTAAATAATAAATAATATAAAAGGTATTAGCTGAAAAAAATGTGTAACCTTTTTAATAGATTTTGTCTTCTTATATTCTGCTATTTCTTAATAAATTGTATCATACCCACTGATTTACTGGGACCACCGGTATGTGAATTATGCCGTTGTATTATGGGGTAAGGAA